CGCAAGCGATTTGGCTCAAGGCTCCCCCATTCTGAGGAAAGACAGAGACGTAGGTAGTACGCGGATGGAGACAGTAAGCATCTTGGTGGGGTGGGCTCGTCGTGGTGTATCCTGTTTCGCAATAATTAAGTGTCTTCGTTGAGTGCGAGCGTCTCTAGAGCGGGGAAGTTAGAGGGGACCATTCACGCCCTTTCGTTCTAGCGTTATAACCTAAATTCCCTTCCTTACTCTCATTCTCTCAATGTCCCTTCTCTGTACGCCCCCAGAAGCACTTGCTCTGGGACGGCGCCCTACTTATTTGCCATACGCTCCATGTGCGCCCACGGCGAAGTTGGTGAGTAGTTTCTCTCTCTACTAAGACTACATCAACCACGGCTACTGTTATGAGTCAGTCTGCCACACATCCGCTGTCTCCGATACATACACATACACACACTGCAGTTGGATAGACACACATATAGAAATTTATTATAATATTTAACTGAGGTAGATGCAGCCAGCGTACTTCGACGTACTGCGTGGACTGACGTCGTTCAAGCAGAGAAATCTGCTGAAAAGTAGTGGATGCTAATGGCGATGGCAGAATCAGCTACAGCAGCTGCGGCAGTAGCAGAAATTGGAGGCACAAAAAAAATGTTAATGTATAATAAACAGGCGAAAGCGTGCGTCGCAAATCTTTGAAGGAGAAAAAAATCGACATAGACATCTCTGCACCCGTGTCGATGAAGGGGTGAGCGAGTGCCTAAGAAAAAAGCTGAGTTTGCAGACTATCCAACTTGCATTAAGTGACGCATAAAAGGAAGCAAATTTACCTGTATTCTTACTGTGTAAGTATGCGATTCAGCTACTTAAAACCAGTTGAATCTTTCTCCTTTCTGAGCACTAACCAATAAGAGCGCCATAAATGGCTTGGCCATATATACAAAGGGAGATACATATGTAGCATTATGGTGATCGTAACCACTGAATGTCGATAAAAATGAAATTTGCAGGACTTACGAATGCACTTTTTGCCATTCTGACAAATTGGCCACCTGCACGAGCAGAATGCAGCGTACATTTGTTAGTTGCGTTTATATCTTTTGGCTCCTATAATATTATATAAAATGTACGGTGTACACGATACTAGGTAGCATATATTTATTAAACAGGCATGCGATGCATCACTCCTGAAATTTTCTTGAGCTTTTCTATAGGTGCTAATTAGCTAGGTAATATACATACAGCCGTAAAATAAATCATAAAAATTACATAAAATGACATATTTTATCCTATTAAGGTGATCCTCTTATCTGATCAGGCATTTTACTCAAAAACAATTTCCAATTTTGTGCTTTATTACGGTTTTTTTTCATCTTATTGAAAAGGACAGGTACGAACCTAATACATAATTAGTCTCTGTTCAAATTGCTGTTGCTGGTGCCTCCGTCGTATAGCCCGCATCTTCACTACTGCACCAGCTATATCGGCTTATCCTGCGATATAAGCAAGAAGCAACCTCCCTTTCAAGTGTTTCTCTGTGAACGAACATACACGTCTAGTGCAGTGGCAAACGGCCTTTGATGCTCCGACGGACCTGAACACCTTCTGCCCATTCTGGCCACTTTTACGTTAGCGACCTATTTCGACTAGCAACGTGTCATCCCATCCATTCATGAGTGCAAGGACCGTTGCGCTATGCAGAAACACCGGCCTAGCTACCGCTGGGTAGGTGGGAAGGAGAGCAAAGTGCAGAAGGTCGCGGAGGCGACCGTCGAAGGCAAAAGATCGAAACGCCATCGGGCGATTGAAAGCTCGAATTTTGCTCGACGTCGTCCTGCCGAGGTCCGAGATAAACGATCTTGACGTTGGCCAAAAGCTGAAGGAAGTGCTGTGCCGACCAGTAGCATTGGTGCCGAAACTAGAGCTCACTTGGCCGGTCAGCTAGCAGTGAGCGACCTTATTGTACCGAAGTGGGCTGTGCAATAACCATACACCCTATCACTCGATGGAAGGACGCAACCATCACATCGACCTATATCAGTGACAATAGTTGCAATAATGCCACCCAACGATGTTACCCCGCAGGTTAACCATCACTAGCCAATCCCATTACCGTATTTCGGGTTACCTGAGACCTTTTTGTCAGTTGACGAGCCGGCACTTTCGGTAGCAGCGAAAAATCCGCGTTTTATTCCTTTGGTAATTATTAAATTATTCAAACAAAAAGATCCTATAATTATTCATATTAAAATATTGATTTTGTAAACAAAAAATGCATTTATATATATATATATATATATATATATATAATAATGATAATAGTCATTTTAGTTAAAAATAGCTGATTTTTATATTGATAGCTTTAGGACGGAGATAGCCACTGAGTTAGCGACGAATTGAGCGACAGGCCAGCCTTGCCCCTCTGTATTATTCCTCGCTCTGTCTTTGACTATGGCTGTCGCAACTGTGGCCCTTCTCAACGTCCATCTCCTTTTCTGGCAGCCTGCGCCATAACAAGTAAGGCTTAGTTTTACAGAGCAGGCTGACACTGCTGCCGCAGTTAGCTGTTGCCCTCCAACGGCGGAGACGACCACGTCGACTCCTCTTCTTTTCACTTCTCCTCCTTTTCGTCCTCGCCGTCTTTTCAACCGTCACTCCTATTTCCACTAGCCCCCCCGAAACCGTTTCCGTAAACCAAGGTTCCCACGAGTCCCATTTTTAGGCTCCTATATACCGAGCCGTACACCCCACTTCTGTTCCGAACAACGTTTTGCCGCCTCTGTCAAAAGAAGCTCGGTACTCAATGCTCGGTGCATTACTCGTGCGCCGTAAAATGCCATCGCAAAAGAACGTATCGAGTGTAGCGCGTAGCCCACCCGTCGTCCACTTCCTGCGGACCAGCAGCCACTGCCCAGCAGTTCTTTCCAACAAGAAAAGCACAAAGCTGCTTGTAGTAACAGCAGTAGCACTTAGGATCATAGCACTACGTTGGTAGCAGAAAGAGGATTTAGCTGTTAGGGGGAATTCTAAAAGGTAACCCAAGGTGATGATCGTAGCGCTGAGGAACGCCAAGATAAAGGAGCTAAGCAACAACTAGGAGTTAGGAGCAACTACACAGTACAATACGGAAGGGACCGAGCTAAACAAGCTGAGTGAGACTGGGCTGGAAGGGAGTTGCGCAGCCTTTTAATGTTTTCCCTCGCTCTTCCGCTAGTTGGCCGCATCATCGTCCGATTACCTCCCCACCCCTCTATCTTATAGAAAATTCAGCTAGGTCCCTGCTGGCGTGGTTGTTGTCGACGACTCTGTTGTTATTCTCGCCGTCGCCAGACGACCGACGGTGGTCCCTTCCAACGACGCGGCCGTATTCAACTGCTGCACTGTGTCTGTCGCTCGGCAATTCAAAGTCTGGCTTCGGCCGAGTTTAAAGCGCCGCCCGCTCACCCAACCGACTCCCACCACCCCAACATCGGCTCGAAGGCGCTTTCGCTCTACCACTGCAGCGGTAATGCAACCGAGACGGTTATTTTACCCACACTCACCCGCTCGACGGCACCCACCAGTCACGTGTGGTAAGTGTCAAGCGAGGTGGCAAACAAACTCCCTCTACCAGTCGCTATGCAGCAGAAATTCAGTTCTGTCCAGTATCTGCAGGCGAGAGTCCTAGGCAAGACAAGTGCTGCAAGACAACCGGCGAGGCGTTGAACGCAGGAAAGCGGGGTCGTCGATGTTAGCCGCGATAGCAATGGTGGTTGCAGGACAACCAAGCAGTACATGTTAGCGGCAGCTGAAATTTCCAGCACAAGACTATATTTAGAGCTTATCTATCAGACTATACCAGACTATACACGTTCCGCCAATATCTACTCAAGGGAGCTTCATGGTAGGCTTCACGAACACCCAGGACGATTACGATGGCTAAGTAAACGCTAGCTAAGATCCGCATCGAAAGTGGCAATGGAGCTAGCGGCGCACTACGGCCATTTGCTGGAAGGGGCAAAATGGGGAATACCTAGTTGTCTATGTGGAGACAGTCAGAAATTGCGCCACACGCACCTTGCAGCGTTCAGTTAGCCATTTATCGTGTACGTACCAAGTACCCAGAGAACGATTAAATGACAAGAAGCAACAATACAGCAGGTGGACAGCCTTCACGGTAGAGACCCCATTCTAAGAACTAAACCATGAATACTTCCAGCTAGCGTTAGTTAGAGTATAGAATAATTGTAATGATGTAGCTGATACATGCGTATCGTAGCCATTGCAACTGTCAAAACTCTACATGAACCTAGTCCTCGCAAAAACTATAAACGACACGAACTTAAGAGTGGAACAAAAGAGCCGAAAACATATCGCTATAATGGGAGATCTACCGAGTTGAAGCGCACATTGCGTGTTCTTATATACGAATGATATTAACTAGTCCTAAAACGGCTGTTTTATTTAATTTAGCCACTACAATATATACTACAATAGAACAAGCTGCAGCGACGATATACGCATCGCAGAAGTTGGTTGGACAAACCCGAAAAAACAATCCCAGTGTCTCGTTTACTCAGAGAACAAAACAGAAAATTCTGCAAAGTGCGCTAATATTCTTATAACATTACTAACGTATTTGCTTGATGGAACGAGAGTCACGATGTTGAGCGAACCAGCTTTTAAAACCAAGCCAACGAGACGCAGCGGTCTGCATGCCGAATGCGTCGTTAACATCCCTTAATTAATTAGGAAACAACAAATCGTATCTGACGGGTACTAAAAAAAAATAAATCTGTTATTTAACGCTTAGGTTTTTCTACTAAGGTTAGAGTCGAAGAAACGAGTGGTACGCATTCTAAACCGGCAAAAACGTAATTCGGCTCACGCGAGTGCTTGGTGATAGATTTGACGTACTCGGCACTTCAAAATGGAGTACAGTATAACGTAAGATGCGACAATAGCTTCGTGAAGTGCATCATAATTGAACCTAGTGCGAACACTCAGTTCCGCGCAAAGTGTGCAATGGGATAACTCACCGAGTATGGAGAAGGCCGAAGTGGGACTGGGTTGCAGACGACGCCGCTTAATTAGGGGTAGATCGGAGTGTAAAACATCGCAGGTAATATGGAGTCCGCGCGAAGTAGATGCTAGCTCAGGCGACGTCGAGCCTTGCATGGTAGGCTTAGTTTGACCAATCTGACGTTTTCCCTCAACCGGCTTACTGTTGCACTGCCTAGTTGTGCTGCGATGAGTGTCGTATTGGGCGACAAAAGTCTCATCATCGGTTCCATCCGACGAGTTCCTTCTATCCAAGCGACTACCTGACGGATGGTTACTTCCAGAAGGCGTTAGGTTAGTTAGATAAGCCCATCGAAGGTCAGGATTTGGAACGGCGATATCCACCGACCTTGCTAATGCCGCCGGCATGTCGGACGTCTGAGCAAGAGTACTATCTGTACCACTCAACTCTCGGGCTAGGCTGGTTAGCATAGTCATAGCAGGAGATTTGGGGATACCGACAGCTTGACGAGGGCCGTTTCGTCGTAGCTTATCATTGGAGGGCATCAAGGGAACGAGAGCATTCAAGACAAACCCGCTGCCATTTAATGGGCTGCCGTTTCGAGACCGTGGGCTTTGCGAGGCATCCTCCGAAAGGCTGGAACGCACTAATCGTGATTCTGTTAATTTTTCGGCTGAGAGTAATGACGAACTTCTACTCTCCGATAATTCTCGTTTTTTGCCCCCAAGCAGTGACGATATGGATAGTGGCCGCGTGTCTCCAGGAAAAGTCATATAAAAAGTTTGTGCAGGCGAAGTTGGTCTTTTGCTCTTATTCAGTGTGTCTTGTACGCACTGCATAGGTCCGGTAGGACAGCCAGTTGTGTTGGACAGGCTTTGTGAGAACGTCGAACGAGCAGGATCTGCAGGGCTGATAACGTCGCCTTGAGATGCTTTTAGGTCGATGGCTTTTGACAAAATTGTCAATACAGGAGATGAAGAAAGCTCGGAGGTTGAGACGGACGTGGGAGTGGTTGAGGTTACCGGAGCAGAAAGTCTTTGGGGGGCCGATTCGGGTATTGAGGCTTCACCACCCTGCGACACGTTGGGCAGCGTACGTACCGCTGTGATGCGTAGCTGTTCATCTTGCTCCTGTTGTCGACGAAGGGCTACCTGCTTCTTCATGATCACCTGTCGTTCTTTGATAAGTTCACATTTTTCGCAGTCGCAATCCTTTCTTGGGCAATGCCTCTTGTGTCCTCGAACAGCGACCTTGACGCCATGGTTTCGGCAACGAGCGCAATTGGGCTTACGTGTCGTGCCTCCTCCAGCGCCCCCAGCGCCAATACTACTACTTGTACCCTGGTCTTGATCGATTGAAGTTGGCTGTTTCACAGCTGCTGGCTGACAGACGATTGACTCCAGTGGGGCCGGAGGCATCGTTCGGTGTGCCACAATAGGCCTTGTCTGTCCCAGACTGTTCACGTACTGGCATCCCATGGCCGCGGCATCGAAAGGAATCCGGAAAGGCACCTCATATGCTTTATGCAGTGTATGTTCAGCATGCTGCATAAATTGTATCGAACCATAGCCAGCTAGTTGGCTCTGAGCCTGCGCTTGTGCTTCAGCTACGGTACGCAGAAGCGCGAGACGTTGGCCACTATTCAAGTTTGATGGGAGTGCGCTATTTAATAGTTGAAACCGATCCGCCATTTCATGGCATCCCTTCAGTGAGAGGCTTAAGCCAGCGTAGTTGCCAGCAAAAAGTGGCCAGCCAAGTTTCGTCGGCAACGGAAGGTCGCCAACTGCCAAACTGTCTGGAGCACCATTAGGCTCCTGGAAAACAGCCAAGTACGGACTGGCACTGCCATTTCCGTTGCTCGCGGACGAACTCTCCGGCGTGTTGTCGTCCACGACGTTAATTGTGGACTCTGGACGCTCCGGAACTTGGTGGGACATGCCGAACTCCTGTGTCAACAGTATGATTGCGCGTTAATGTTATGCGTCGACGAAAAACCATGAATTGAGCACAAACAGCACATTACGCCAGCTGCTTACATCACTAGCAGTTATATCCAGCGTCAGCAAGGCGTCTAGGCTAAGTTCATTATGATCTAATGGGAAAGATAAGCCTGGGCCAGAACTAAACGTTGAATTACTATGCCCTTTCATAACTGCTTGTACTGTTGAAAAGTCCATGACGCAGACAAATTTTTAATTCTATGAAAATTATGTTCATTTTTAGTTTGTCTTCTGGGTCAATCGTTGAGCGAACTATGTACCGGTTCCAGATAACCAAAAAAAGACATTGTCAGCAATAACGTAATTCAAGACGCTGTGATTAAACTGCGCGTAATTTAGGCTCATCGTATATTCACCGTTCGGAAGCTGCCAATCCGTCGATCGAATCATAAAATCCATACACAGTGATAGAAGTATAGCATTATTTTATGCTAGGTAGGGGTCCGATTCCTTGCATAAGTAACTATGTAACGTTTGGTCTCGGAAAACTCCAAATGCATAATGTGAACCGCAATACAGTTTGGGCTAGCACAGCTGGTGGTAGGTGTGGTAAGATTAAATCGTCGTATCTTATTGTCGTTCGAGTTGTCGATCTGCTTTGCCTTTCCCCAGGCCAGCTTTTATAAACGCAATAAAGCTTGAGCGTACAATTGAAATAACGCATTGAATATGTATAATATGACTGTAATAATGGTTAACTGTTTGTAGATGTTGCTTGTCGGTGTTCGTTAATCATGGAGATCGAACTGGACGCCGAGCGCTTGTCATGTGAGTACATTTTTCAATCCACTGTCTCGTTTAGTCTTGTCTGGTCAATGGAGTCGTTGTAAGGCTTCCATCTAGTTTGGCCTTTGCACCGTCGCTTGATACCCTACAACCCACGGTCTTTAGTTTATAGCGACTGGGTTAGACTATATGGGGTAGAAGCGTTCCCTGTAACGTCAAAAAGTAGCCAAATAAACCGCAAGCGAAGCGACCCATGCCATTTGATTGATCGCTACAAAATGCCACGACGACGTTCCGAAGTCAGTTCGCTACAAGGTTGATCTGAGCTGAGTTGTATCCAAATCCGCGCGGACTCCACAGGGGTTTAGCACGATATCCAGAAAACGAAGTGAAGTTTGTTAAGAATCACTGAAAACCGGATGCTTGATGGTTTCTGACAAGTTCTAATAGATAGGAACGATTCATTTTTATTACGACAACCGTCATGGACGACCTCAACGGTTGAATGACCTCAATCACTCAACTCATCATGAATCGATCGCGCACCCTTCTTTGTTACACATTCACTTGCTCACTGGTATTGTTGGTGTCCATAGAGATGTGCTGAATCGCGGTGCGTAAAGCCCGCGCTGCAGGTGATGTGACATACTGGAACAAACCAAAAATACGTTGATATACGATATATACACACAAACGTACTAACATTTTGAGTGTCACACGTCCAGTAATTGATACAAAACTAGTACACGAGTAGCGGGATAAATGTTCCCAGCGTACCGGGGGCATCAGGATCCAAGAAAGAACAAACGCTAGTTGAGGTAAAGTAAGCCCGTTTGAGCCTTCAGTTTATAACGATGCAGTAGGAGCAAATTCATAGATAGGTTGTCAAAGCATACTGCCAATGATAGCACGTAAAGTGTCTCGAATGCCGGGCCTGCGCCGTTGCCCTATCTGACAGCTGACAACTACGACAGATCGGCATGAGCAAAACAAAGGAACCTATTCCAAGATTTATTCTAGACCCGCACATTCCCATCGCACTCTCTAGTATCCGAACCTCAGCAGCATCCAAGCGATGATTGTACTCCCTTAAGTTTTTCTAAAATCTGTGCAGGTTCGTATAGCCTTTGTCAAGCTCTTGAATAATCTAGTTTTCCTATGTTTCATCATGCCGGCTTCACATACTTTGTCCATTAGTAGAAATGCTTACTGCTGAAGTCTCGTCGACCTCAACAGCCATTAACAGAAAGAGATAACTAGAACAAAATTTTCCCTACAATTTTCATTAATTGCGTGTTCCCTACCACTGCTGCTGGTGTTGTCACCCCCCTCCCCCCTCCCCCCCACCACAAGCCACAATAAGCGGACCCATCAATAGACTGACAGACCGACCGACCGACCAACACAAAGGAGCACCCAAGTAGACAACGACAGGCCAGTCTTACCCGACCAGCGAACGCCGTTTTTACTTATCGCTTATCATCGCCGTCCGCTGACGGTTACGCCAATCAGATAAAAAAAAAAAGCACGCAATCGATTAACGAAGTAATAACGCCTGTTTAGAGGGACCGCGGGCGTTGGGCAAGGCTACCACTATTATATAAAGCATGGAAGAATTTAGGACATATATACGCGCGCGCGCACACACACACAAACACCTTTAGACGACTATGCGACCTCAGGTGACAATTTGGTCAGGATTATCTCACTCAGTATTGCCATTATCATTACCAAAAGTCGGGGGGGAGCAGGGCAAGATTAAAATAGCAACAACGGTAGAGCACAGAGTATTGTATAGTCTATCCGTGTAATAGCCACATCGAGATACCGTTTAGTTTTAGAACAATACGAAGTTGTACAACGGTTTGTTGTTATCGTCGCAGCACATAGCTTTTACAATCGTTAATTAAAGCAAAGAAAATGAATCCTTTTGGAGATACGATTGTCCAACTGTACCATTGGATCAATGCTTCTTATTAATGGATAATGCTTGTTATATGGTATTAACTGTGTTAATGCACTTTTGTTGAACTTAGCTACTTGGTAACTTCTGTGTGTCACATTCATTTTGGCAGCACTTTCTCTCTTAACATATCGTTACGAACTACAGTGACTAATATGTTTACCTCTGATGGTGGGTGCCGGCTTGCCACTGTTAGAACTGGTATCGATGCCAACCGTACGCTCACTCACTCACTCACTCACCGTAATAACTCTACTTGTTTTTTTGTCGTCGTCGTCTCACTTTCTTTTTTCGCCTATCTCTTTTTCTAGGTGTTATCAAAAATCAATAGGCTTGACAAAAAGTAACTGGCCGGCACCGTCACCGTCCACTTAGCCAGCCAACTGACTCAAGAGTGGATCGTTCGTGCGCTGTCGCAGGAAAGGGCCTGGCCGATCGCAGCGCCGCACCGTTGCCACCACCATTGCGACTGTCATCACTGATGGGCAGCGCAGCAGGACACAGCGGCTAAGCAAACGGGCAGCGCACAAAGCCCATCAGTTCCATTGGCAAAGACTGCCACTACGGGTAACAACATTAGTTGTCCGTTCGCAGACGCGGGAACCGCACCGAAAACGCTCAAACCAAACGGGAAGCCGCCTAACTGGTCAGTCCTTTGTTGTCTGACGGGCCGGGATCAAGGAGAGCTATTGACAGTGGAACGCAGACAACAACAAGCAACTACAAGAAGGCCGACGCTAGCGCGCAACTAGCACAAACGGATTTACAGCGAGAGGGGGCGAGACAGAAATAGGGACCAACAGGCTTACCAATAATGACAAATGAATAACTAAGGCCACACTGAAAGTACTGCTGCCGCAGCTGTTTTTGCTATTACAGACCCATTGCATTGATGAATGAAGGAGTCCTACGAGTGACAAACACCGCATAGACGGACGGACGGACAAACTAGAAAACGTTACGTTTTCCTATCCAACTAGATGTCCATTTGCATGACTGACAAATAGTCAGAAATTATGAATTTCCGATGAAGTACGCGGCCATCAGTAGATGTTACACGGACATGTATGAGGCCGCTTGGCACCTGATACAAATGCAATCAACAGCGACTTCTAGCCAACCTGCGTACAGATAAGGAGATAACTACCATGCACGTACAAATATCCAAAAGTGTCGGCACTAAAGGAATGGTAACGCCAGCGAAATGAACAAGCCAGTTATCTGTAGTAGATACGCGAGCATACCATAAAGAGAAACAAAAGAATAAAAAAGAAATTAAATAAAGCTGATCAAAGCGAATCATGAAAAAATTAAGGAGTGCATTAAGGAGATCGAGCGAAACAGGTTCTACCGAGAAGTTTAGCTATTTTTTATGCTTGAAAACAACGTGGCCCGCGTCCTTTGTATGAATACGTGCGTCGAATAAGTCACATCTGAAAACGACGGTACAAACCTCTTGTAATAAGTTAAGAAGTGGAGAATAGAACAGTTCAAAGGAAGTTGTAGTGGTGGCATCTAATTGATACTCGTCGCAGTCTAAGATACTTCGCAGCATTATGTTTAGGCTCATTTTAGCCCTTTTTCTGCTTAACGTTGAAGTATCCGTGGCTAATTTTATTATTTATGACGATATTTTAGGCCATTGAACACTTGCCGATATAATGGAAGAGATAAAAACAAACGTTTGAGCGTAGTAGGTTTGTGGCTAAAGTACCTCGCCAATAGTAGCTCCGTGTCATCGTAATATTTGGACGATATTTAACTAGAGCCATTGTTTTCAGCAAGGCTTTTGGTTTAACGGCTGGCGTCATCTTCCACTGATGACGTTTGGCGAGATTTCAAAGAACGACATTGGTAATGTTAATTCTAACAAACAATTAAAGGAAATGCTTCCATCCACGGATGAATAGCTGCGTAACGTGCCGACGTAGCGTATTATCTTATTTAGTACATACCGTAATAGATACCAATGACATAGTTAGCAAACTTTACTGCGATACATTAGTAGTATGCGATCTAATATAGAGATAGCTGAGGCCTTCTGGTAGATATATATACACGCGTATAGATCGATAGCTATGGGGAACATCAAATATCAATGCCGACTGTCCGATACGTCGACCAGAATTATGGCTATTGGCAACGTAGACAACATGATTATATTACTATTCTCTTGCGTCAGTCGCTATCGCAGCCGCATCCGGTCGCGGGTCCTATAGCGATTTTTTACAGAATACAACAGAGTTGTCAATAGCATCACGTGCCTGTCGCGAAGCAGGCCAGCGGTGCACGTCGTACAGGGGCGATGGAAACAACTTCTGTAAAGTGTACCCAAACACAGTGTGCAACGTTCCAAAAAAAAGTGGCAAAGGAAATCTTATTCCCATGGTGATGGCGCAATTCTGATGCATGTTTATGCTTATTTATTAATCTAATTATTATCTGGGCCGCAGCCTACCACCCAGCTTCACACAAACTGAACCCACTTGGTGAGACATCAAACTATTGGACCCAGCCACTGGAAATAACAACCGATTTGAGTCTACTGCATCAGTCATCAGGGAATCCGGACAAGGGCGCATTACGTAACGAATATGTGAACAGATTCACTGTATTGTTTGTTATAAAGCTTTGAGGCGGTTTTTTAGAATAATTTAAAAATGAATTTTTCCCATACATACAGCAGCTCCGTTTCCTGTATACGGCTCGTAGACTAGATGAGTACCACTTGAATTAATGACAGTCTCGATCCGGTCTCTGTCATAGATTTCGTCATTATGTTACAAAGAGCCCCGTACTATATTTCCCCTTAGCAAGTGAAGTATTGTTAGAATACACAGCTGAATTCCTTATAGTTTTGGTGGCTGAAAAAGACATCATAAGATCTTCGCACGGTGTAACTGTTACACCATACGAGTCTATCTACTTGCTATACTGTCGCTGGAAATCAGTTTGATAACGCTGCAAAATTTGTGTGGATAGCCTAAAAAATTGATCGACGAGACCCCAACTTCGTTTGTATAATAGTCGATGTTTCAAAATTTAAATTTATATCATACGCGTCGTGCATTTTCATGTTCTAGGACTATTGCGGTTCGACTCGTGTTCGCGGGACGGCAAGTGTTATGACTCGTTCTATAGACGTACTATTCAGATCATGAGATACTACAAGGTCTTCTACCGAAGACCTCATGGGTTAGTTAGAAGGTTAGTGGGAAGTATATTTGCCTTCTGATCTTAGAGACACTTTGTGGTCTAGATTCGAACTTGAGCATAGGCTGACTTTGTTTCCTGCTGGGAGCTAGCCGTCTGATGAAATGACTAACGGCGATACAGGATGTAAAATTCAAAACATAGAGATACGTTCTATCGGTATTTGATGCGCAGCCGCCTTTCCTATTATTGACTTTTAGGTAACGAGTATCATAAATTAGATTGACAGATCACAAAATATGGAAGCCTCCACTGTGTAGGTAGCCCGACCTTTCCAAAAATGATCCGTCGTATGATCAGAAGAAAACGATCGCAATTCGATATGGGTGCTTGTATCAGTGATTCAACTGATTCCTACAGCTGCCCCTGCAGCTGCTGCTGCTGCTACAGCTGCTGCTGCTACTGCTTTGGCTGGCGTGAAGACTGACGAAAGCTCTGCTACTGACATATGTCAGCCATATCGTTAGAGCAAGGACCTGAAAAAACCTAATTGCGCGCCTGCGTCTATTGTGTGTGTTTCGGTCTCAGATCGGTTTTCTGTGCGTTTTTGATTTCTCCGAACTCACTATTCGAAATAATTAGACGAACTTCGGTAAGCTGACAGTTTTCTGAACAGCTACATATTTGGGTAATGTAGGTACTACCATATAGATGTGTGAACAACAATTTAATGGAGCTAATGCTGCAACATGAAAATCTACAAACGTACCGAAACGAATAAAAAGAAATTACGTTTTTAATGATTGTCCGCTTAACTGTATTTAAAAAAATCGTGAAGACATGTATGTATTTTGCGCAGACTGTGATCGAACGTGAGCAAGCGAAGTGTTTCACTTTGTATAGAAACGGATGCTTAAGAAATTTCATTATAGAGCTATTTACTATGGGCCGTCGCAAACTAAGCGTTATTTTTCCTAGGTATGTTTTATTACATTAAATCATTACAGGTCGTATCTAGCAAAAAAATATCCTAAATGGTATTATTTAATTGTTGTCTTTGAACTAGTTTCAAAAGGTATAGTTTGGGATATATCTAATTAGAGAAATTTTCGGTCTCCGGCGAACCCTACTTTTTTCGCCTTATGATTTCCAACTTTCGAAGGCTACTGCCTTCGAAAGTTGGAAATCACAGTACGAGCCTTCATATAGGACGTACTTGCTGAGGAGGAGGTTTCGCGTACAGGGTAGGTCTTTAGGCACACCGCATTTCATTTCTGTAAAATTAGTCCTCGAAAGGACGAGCTGTGTGGAGGGTTTTGTGGTCTGAAAATTGGCACTCGCCTTGGCCGCACCGGGCCCATATTTGGGCCACATAACCGTGAAACGGAGCAATATGTCAACACGATAATTGTCTGCTATCTTTGTATCACTGGAATACTATAATAGATGAGCTGTGCTAGATAGTCGCGTTCCAAAAGGCAGTGGCTGCCAACTTGACGGGCTACAATGTACTTTTCATTGCAGTCGCTTACCTTTCGTAGCTTGCCGGCCAGACTCGAGTCGTTTTCTTCAATGAACCAACACAGAAACGAATCGATTCTGCATTGAGGATGATGGTGAGCAAGAGGTACGTGGCATGCTTCCAAGACTAATATATTGGCCTGAACATGAAGCAGGACAGAGCTTACGGACCAGGACGTTGCGGTACTCTGTGCGAGCATCAACGTTTTCGTACCTAACATTCAAACAGAGGACAAAGTACTAAATGCTTGCTAATGACCGAAGGCATCGCGACTCCAATATCATTAATCTAAGTGGAACCAACGACTAGGAACAATATTGTTTACTCAGCGCATTTTCTAAATAAGAGCTGGGTTTAGTTCTCTTGGGCAAGATTCATTTATTCTAGCTTAAAAAGAACATCCGTAACAAGGAGCCTGAATCCAGCAGTCAAATAAAATGGCCTTGTACAATGTGTTACAGGCTCAAGTTTATCTAACTGAGCAAAGCCGACCTGTCTCTAAAGTAGACGCCTACAAACTGGTCTCGTACACTTATCATAGTCAGTATATGAATAGAAAATAAAATCATCACGTCTCGCTCTCGCAGCTGTGTAACCAAGTGCACATGTAGACCTTATGTTGCGCCCCCTATCGAAAGGTGCCTCTTCCCGATAAAAAAGCAAGTTGACATTTACTTGTAAGAAACATTATTGTTCTCTTTTTCTTCTCCTTTTAAAAGATAGCTATCGTCATGTAAATCAACTTTTTTCTAATATTAACTAATTTGAAATGAAAAATCAATAATCTGTAACAAGGCCTTAGAGTAATACCAGACGCAAGACTCGCCCAACAAGATCCGTTCGTCCCATAAAATTGGTTTTATAATATATCAATGTTCGTTCGTCTCCCACTTAATCAATACATCAAACCCTGTTATGTGAACGCACACTGCTCCGACTGGCCTAACGTACCTAGCATTGCTAGGCTGTTTAATGGCGTTATTCTATAAAACATCATAAAACTCGTATTACTTCAAAGGTTACTCTCCCAGCACATAGGGATGATAATGATCGAAGTTCAGACATGGAGCCTTGTCGAAGCGAGTCGCCAATCGTCTTCCCCTTTCGACGCGAGGTCGATTCGAAGCATCAATCATTCTCGGCTCACCGTGGCCCCAGTCCCACAGAATCGGGGCTAATCTAATGTAGCACGATACGTGGCATATCACCTATATCACGTCACTCGGCTTCGTATTCGTCTTTCTTCTCTCTGATTTGAAGCTTTCCCGTTGAAGGTCGCTGCGGTTCGTTTCCCGGTCAACACATCGACACCGTAGGGCCCTGACGTAGTTCTTCGTACACTAAGCCGTTCTTCTCTTTGTTATTACCGCAGCAGCAACATCATCGATGCATTACATTTATAGCTTCGTCTCTGTCTACCTAGAGTATGTTATTACTCGGATGTTTACATATGAGCGCAAACATACGTTTTTGCTGTTCTTCTAGGAGGTCTGCGATGGCTGGACGACGTGTTCGCGTAACACTGCTGTCGATGTTGCCATCGATGAGACTGAAGC